CACAAATTTATATTAAAAATTTTCCCAAAATTTCCCGGGAGTAATTTCATTTGCGTTAATATAGGTTTAGAGCAACTTGTGGAGAGATTATGGTAGGTATTGAAGGGGGACTTTTTTGTGACCTAGGTGTCCCAAAAATTCCTACTTGTCTCTGTAACTTTGATAAATAATATTTATCTTTGTTACCATTTACTGGTATATATCTAATGAGATACATCCAGGTAAATGTAATTTTCCACAAGTGGGATGACTGATCTCTGACATGACAGAAAAGAGCATTGTTATTGTGGGCAGGCCTAACATTACATTTGTCCTCCCTGAGTCTGTCAGAAAGAGAACGGTCTTTCTCTTAGACCACTCTTACATTATAAAACTTGTATATAATTTGTAGAAGGTTGTTGTAATGGAGTTATAAAAACTTAGACTCTTCTACCGAAGTAGCTAGTTTATTGTTCAATACATATCCATCCTGATGATGGTAGGGTAAGATCATATGGATACACAATAGGTAAAAGAGCTCAGCCCCAAAAGAGTTTACACGAACACGTCTGGAGTTATATCTACAGTTCCCTTATCTGTTGCAACAAATTCAGAAAATATGTTTAGTATATCTATCTTATTTTTATTAAGGATATATATCTTGACAAATCACGTCACATAAGTCATCATACTGTGTCTCCCTTTAGTCCTAAATAAATGGATAATGATGGTCAGGTTATTATCAACGTTCTTTTTTTTTGGGGGGGGGGCTTTTTGTTCGATTTTGTATCTTTTTGGTGAATGTTTAGAAGCATTGTTTTTTATTAACTTTTGACAAAAGTTTCAATAAGATCGGCCAACAAACAGATCAGAAAAAAAAATATTTACTGAGTATGGCACTGGGCAGCAAGTCCCTCCATAGTGGCACTGCAAGGCTGGCACTCTCCATTGAGAGAACAAGCCATACTGGAATATGTAATGTTGGGAAATAATGTAATATACTTTGTCTTCATGCCGAAAAAAAAAACCTGTGGAAATTTATTTGGTCCAAATAGTTCCACAGCTCAGATCCAGCATGGCCGTTGGGTCGGCTGAGCCGGGCGGCCCTTAAACCCTCCCAAACAAAGCATTCTCTGGTTGGCGGTTGTTGGTTAGCTTATTTAATTTATAGATTTACTCTTCAGGGAAGGAGTAGGTAGTTTTACTGGTAGTACACTAATATTAGGTTTACTAAGGCATCTGTAGATAATGATAAAGTAGACCTAAGACCTTAACATAGGTAGTAATAGGCCAATAATGTAGGCAAACCCTAGGATAAGTTAGCTAGGGAGAACTGGCAGCCCTAGTTTGAACGAAGAGACGAGGGTCTGGAAGGGAGACCAGCTCGTTCTTCTACGACAGACACCAACTGGACAAGACGTGCCGTGATCAGCAGACGGCGCCCCCATGTGTCTTCACATCTGAGACCTGGGGAAATCTGGTAGAGGCACCTCGATGTACCGTAGATGACCTCCTCCATCAGCCTATACAGAAAGACAAGATCTTCACTTTTTCCCGTAGGTTCTGGCCAGTGTCTTGGGAGATCGTGGGTGAGTTTTAACTGTGGTCCCGGTGTGCAACAGAGAGAGCATGCCCAGTAAGTACCAGTGTCTCAGAGCCGTCTGAAGCTAGTGTCTGAGTCTGCATAGTTATACTAGGGGTTACATACCCTCTTGGATATAGGATTTTCTGAGGTGCAGGCAGGACACTAATTACGATTGAATATTGCAGGAATTAATGCTCCTGGTTGCACGTGGTTTCTGAGGGGGAGTCCAAAGGGGCTAAGGCTAGCTTAGGGAAGTGAAGATCAGGATATATGCTGCAACACCAAGTAAATTAGTCCTTTATATGTGCATGCAGGCGAGGTTTCTTGCAATACCAATCATTTGTGAAAATCTGTCATATAAGCCAATTGTGAGGCTGAGGTACCTACCTCAGAGCTCGGTGTCAACAGAGTTTGCCAGGGTAGGCGACTCACTTGTAGGCAGTCCACACAAATTTTCACAAAACCTTTGGAAGGGTTATTGACTTTCACTAAAACATCTGACTTTTACTCCCACAAAATAAAAAATATTTGAGATATTCCAAGGGGATATACATTAGAAATTCAAAGACAATTTGTTTTATGTTACCTCTGAAAATTATTACAAACTAATCATTAATAATAGAGACACTTGCAGCAAATGGTTAAAAAATCTTACTTTCGAAATATTGGGGCAAACCCGCGATCACCTGATTATATTAAAAAAAATCGCTAAAATCTCGTTTTTTTTTTTTTTTTTTTTTTTGCTTTTTCTATGCAATGTAAGTGATTTCTTATTGTTTCCCGCTATATTATACCGTTTTCTTTAGTAAGAGATCAGGGCTAAAAGAGAGAACCTTTCTTTATAGTCAGGAACTTAAGTAAATGATTTGACCATGTGGTAACCACCCCTCTGTTATAGTTTAATTTTGGCCGTCTTTATTATGCTTGTATTTTATTTATCTTATGTCTGTTATAATTTATGAATAAATGACATACGCAGATAAAGTTTATTAGTAATATAAGCGTCAGAATAAGACATATTGTGGCTGAGGACCAGACTGCTGACAAAGTAAATTCTCGTCCCTCCCTCTCCTGCTGACTCCTCCTACTATTCAGTTCAATTCAATTCCATTCAAAGTTTATTCTCTATAAGGATTACAATATTGAGTTTACAGAATTAGGTTATTGTGTAGTTTACATGTAGTAAAATAATAATTACAGAGTGTACCACTAGAGCACCTAGCATGGCAAGGCATTTCGGGCAGACTTAAATACTAGTTTGTGGGTTTAGCAATGTGAATGCTTTTGTTTTGGCACAGTACATAGTTTCAGTATTGGAGTATCGAAGGCCAACTTATGACTAGTTAGAATTCATTATTTTAAGATTGAGATTAATATATCTATTTATGGTCAAATGGGTGAGTGAGTGTAAGTGTTAACCACCAGGTGGTATTCGTGTAGTTAGTTGGTGGGGTGTATCAAGGAGATAAGATGTTTTCTAATGGTAGTTTTGAAGGTGATGAATGTGTCTGCAGTTCTAGAGTTTTCAGGTAGGGTGTTCCAGATTTTAGGGCCTTTAACATACATTGAATTTTTGTAAAGGTTTAGTCGGACACGGGGAATGTAGTAGAGATGTTTGTGTCTGGTGTTATGCCTGGGGGTTCTGTCACAACTATCAAGAAAGCGTTTTAGGTCAAGGTTAATATTGGAATTTAAGGTCCTGTAGATGTAGATTGGACAGTAGTAAGTGTGGATGTACTGAACAGGGAGTAAGTTTAGATCTATGAAGAGTGGGGGGGGGGTGTTGCCAAGGATGGGATTTAGTGATTATTCTTACTGCGGCTTTTTGTTGGGATATTATTGGCTTTAGGTGTGTTGCTGCAGTTGATCCCCAAGCACAAATAGCATAGATGAGGTATGGATAAATAAGTGAGTGGTATAGTGTGAGATGGGCATTTTGCGGCACGTAGTATCGTATCTTGTCGATCTTAATGTTAATTTGCGCATCTTCTGCTCTGCTACCAAACATAATATAGTGAGGAAATTAACTCTTCATCAGAGTACAAAACAAATTCTGGCCACAAAATAGAGCGAAACACCAACGTCAAACACCTGGGAGTGATTATGTCGGAGGATCTCACCTTCAAGGACCATAACATTGTATCAATCGCATCTGCTAGAAAAATGACAGGATGGATAATGAGAACCTTCAAAACTAGGGAGGCCAAGCCCATGATGACACTCTTCAGGTCACTTGTTCTATCTAGGCTGGAATATTGCTGAACACTAACAGCACCTTTCAAGGCAGGTGAAATTGCCGACCTAGAAAATGTACAGAGAACTTTCACGGCGCGCATAACGGAGATAAAACACCTCAATTACTGGGAGCGCTTGAGGTTCCTAAACCTGTATTCCCTGAAACGCAGGAGGGAGAGATACATGATTATATACACCTGGAAAATCCTAGAGGGACTAGTACCGAACTTGCACACGAAAATCACTCACTACGAAAGCAAAAGATTTGGAACGATGCACCATCCCCCAATGAAAAGCAGGGGTGTCACTAGACGTTTTTGAGACCATCAAAAGTGTCAGGGGGCCCAGACGTTTCAACTGCCTCCCGCAAATAAGGGGAATTACCAAAAGACCCCTGGGAGTCTTCAAACTGGCACTGGCAAGACCTAAAGTCAGTTCCCGATCAGCCACTTGGGTCGTGATGGTTTGCGGCACCAGCACAAAAGCCGGTTGTCGGTCTGACCCCAGGAGGCCTGGTCCGCCCCGGGGGGCGCGGGGCGTTGACCCCCGGAACTCTTCCAGGTAATCTCCAGGTTTTGTCAGTGTTAAGCGTAAGTTTATAGCTGTCATCCAAGTCGATATTTTGATCACTATAGCTGTAGCTATAGCTGATCTTATTTTTATTAAAGAGATATATCTTGACATATCACATAAGATATTATACTGTCCCCTCTCTTTATTCCTAAATAAATGGACAATAAAGAGAGTGAAGATAAGGTTGGCAACATACTTTGCATAAGGTCATCTTTGTGTCTGCCTAATTTTTGGCTACTATATCAGTCAATCTGTTCACATTGCAGTTTGCTCCATACACACTTTTATCTACGTTCATGTTATAATAGTGAGTTATAGAGTTACTCAGAATTCTAGCTACATTTTGTAACATTCATTTTCATTATTTACTTCTCTTCTAATATTATTCCTAATGGTAAACACAGATAAATCAAAGTTATATTCTACATTTTCCTTCAGGTTAATTGACTTGGCTAATGTATCATCTGTATCACGAAAAAGTAATCCAGTGTGTGATGGAATCCATAACATTTGTAAATTAATTCTATTTTCGAGGATTTTTGTGTATCTATATCTGGCTTCACCAATGATCATGTTGTTAGTCATTATGTGAGTCAATAGTCTTTAATGATGACAGAGAATAAAGTAATTTTTTTAATAAAAAGAAGCATTTTTAATATATAAGACAATTAATTATTTTTATTTGTTAAAAAACCATATTTACATTATTAACTGAAAGGCACTAATGTGTTGTAGAAAATATTTTGATAATACGCAGGTGATGCAAACCTTGTCTGAATCCTTCCATTTAGCTCTATTATCAATTTATTTCACATTGTTCTCCTACGACTAACATAATTAAATAGCAGATATGTTTTCTTTGACTTAATCATAGTTTCTTAAATGAAAATATATAGGTTACTGGGAGCTAAAACTGTTGGAATTATTCATAGGCTTGAGTGAAGATTTGGACACAGCAGAGTCCCCTCTCCAGGTAGCAAAGCTTGCCAGCATAAAGACATTTTTAAGTAGTGTACCTATTCTCATCCTTCATAGGGATTTTAAACTTCCCGCACTGTTTAATATTACAACTCGAGGTCAAGCTGAGTATCACAGTTTATACTAGCACAAGCAACAATGAGGCTTCACTAGCTAAAACTCCAGAAAGTGGATTTCATTCTCCCAGGAAATTACTAAACTCATTTTCGTTATATTTTATTCGAAGCTGCAATGCCTCGCTGGGATAATGGATGGGAAACCTGGGAGTTTTTTTTTTTTTTTTTTTTTTTGTCTAGGCAAAACATCGCCTGTATATCAGGTAAGTCCGGTAAAGTTTATGTTCAGTAAATCTGTTTTAATTCAGTAAATCTTTTAACCTTTAATTTGGCAATGTTGTTATTCTATATTAAATGTATAATAGAACTTTAAATGTCTACAGTGAGCACCATTGGAATTATCCTTCATGGTCCTTCAATTACTAATTCATGTTTGCTTAGTGTTATTAACACACCAGAGTATTTACAGTTCTAATAATAATTATCAGTCCATCAGCGGTGTGAGGAAGTGTCCAGATCAAGACAGTGAAGGTTACACTTGAGACCGAACCATCTATAAGTAACATCTTACAGGGCAGGGTATAAACATTTCATATACTTTCCCATTAATTTCCCATAAGTTATCTCATACAGTGGATATCTCTCATGTAGATTTTTCTTCTCTTTAGATCACTCTGGTGGCCTGGTGGTTAACGCTCTCGGTTCACACGGCGAGAGCCTGGGTTCGATTCCCAGCCAGAGTAGAAACATTGGACGTGTTTCTTTCCACCTGTTGTCTATGTTCCCCATCAGTAAAATGGGTACCTGGGTGTTAGTCGACTGGTGTGGGTCGCATCCTGGGACACTGACCTAATTTGCCCGAAATGCCTCCGGAGCATAACAAGGGACTTTCTGGTAATAAATAGTATAAAATATCGACACAATGGAAATATAAACACAAATGCAGTATAATGTGATCCTTTATTGACAACGTTTCACCCACACAGTGGGCTTTCTCAAGTCACACACGGATCCGTGTGTGACTTGAGAAAGCCCACTGTGTGGGTGAAACGTTGTCAATGAAGAATCACATTATACTGCATTTGTGTTTATATTTCCAAGGGACTTTCTATATAGTAGTGTGTCATTGTAGTCAGCTGGGACTGTATACCCTGTACATGTACTTGTAGTAAAATAAGGATATTATTGTTATTATTATTATTATTATTATTATTATTATTATTATTATTATTATTATTATTATTATTATTATTATTATTATTATTATTATTATTATTATTATTTTGCAGATAAATAGATGGAAGAACGATTGCATTGACTTAATTAGCAGACTAAAAAAATTTGTGCTCCGCTCGGGGTGTATTTTGCACACGTTCATCCACACTTGCTGCTTTTTAACAAATAACAACTTTTTATTTCTAGACTATTTTCTATATTGTAAACCGGGAATTATAAAAATAATTCTACAGGTAACATTGTTTCAAATATTACTCATAGAACAATTTCCAGTAAGAATTAACTTTATGTAATGTGTATAATAACCCAGGGTTTACTGTAGTAGGTTAAGTCTCAATAATAACCTGGGGTTTACTGTAGTAAGTTAGGTCTCAATAATAACCCAGAGTTTGCTGTAGTGAGTTAAGTCTCAGTAATAACCCGGGGTTTGCTGTAGTAAGTTAGGTCTCAATAATAACCCAGAGTTTGCGGTAGTGAGTTAAGTCTCAGTAATAACCCGGGGTTTGCTGTAGTAAGTTAGGTCTCAATAATAACCCGGGGTTTGCTGTAATAAGTTAGGTCTCAATAATATCCTGGGGTTTGCTGTAGTAGGTTAGGTCTCAGTAATAACCTGGGGCTTCCTGTAGAGAGTTAGGTCTCAATAATAACCTAGGGCTTGCTGTAGTGAGTTAAGTCTCAGTAATAACCCAGAGTTTGCTGTAGTGAGTTAAGTCTCAGTAATAACCCAGGGGTTGCTGTAGTGAGTTAGATCTCAGTAATAACCCAGAGTTTGCTGTAGTGATTTGTCTCAGTAATAACCCGGGGGTTGCTGTAGTGAGTTAAGTCTCAGTAATAACCCGGGGTTTGCTGTAGTGAGTTAAGTCTCAGTAATAACCTGGGGCTTCCTGTAGAGAGTTAGGTCTCAATAATAACCTAGGGTTTGCTGTAGTGAGTTAAGTCTCAGTAATAACCCGGGGTTTGCTGTAGTGAGTTAAGTCTCAGTAATAACCCGGAGGTTGCTGTAGTGAGTTAGATCTCAGTAATAACCCAGAGTTTGCTGTAGTGATTTAAGTCTCAGTAATAACCCGGGGGTTGCTGTAATGAGTTAAGTCTCAGTAATAACCTGGGGTTTGCTGTAGTGAGTTAAGTCTCAGTAATAACCTGGGGTTTGCTGTAGTAGGTTAGGTCTCAGTAATAACCTGGGGTTTGCTGTAGTAAGTTAGGTCTCAGTAAAAACTCGGGGTTTGCTGTAGTGAGTTAGGTCTCAGTAATAACCCAGAGTTTGCTGTAGTGATTTAAGTCTCAGTAATAACCCGGGGGTTGCTGTAGTGAGTTAGATCTCAGTAATAACCCGGGGTTTGCTGTAATGAGTTACGTCTCACTAATAACCCGGGGTTTGCTGTACTGAGTTAGGTCTCAGTAATAACCTGGGGTTTGGTGTAGTGAGTTAGGTGTCAGTAATAAGCTGGGGTTTACTGTAGTGAGTTATATCTCGGTAATAACCCAGGGTTTGCTGTTGTGAGTTAGGTCTCAGTAATAACTAGGGGTTTGGTGTAGTGAGTTATGTGTCAGTAATAAGCCGGGGTTTACTGTAGTGAGTTAGGTCTCAGTAATAACCTGGGGTTTGGTGTAGTGAGTTAGGTGTCATTAATAACCCGGGGGGTTTACTGTAGTGAGTTAGGTCTCAGTAATAACCTGCGGTTTGGTGTAGTGAGTTAGGTGTTTGTAATAAGCCGGGTTTTACTGTAGTGAGTTATATCTCTGTAATAACCCGGGGTTTGCTCTTGTGAGTTAGGTCTCAGTAATAACTAGGGGTTTGGTGTAGTGAGTTAGGTGTCAGTATTAAGCCGGGGTTTACTGTACTGAGTTAGGTCTCAGTAATAACCTCGGGTATGGTGTAGTGAGTTAGGATTCAGTACGCTGGTCTGATCTTCATCTCTGTCCTCTTGAGAGAGTAGTGATAACCACGGAAAGGTTGCCAGTTGACACCATCAGCATAAGATTCATGTGCACCATTATGGTACTTACCATTCAGGTTGGATGAATGGCATTTTCCATACCACCAAGCACCATGAAAACTGAAATAAAAATATTGAAGTCTGAATATTTATAATAATCTGATACTAAAAACTTGTATGAAAAAAGACAGTGAAATTCGTTGATTAGGAAATTGGGCTGCAATAAGAGGCAAGCAAATTGAAGTTTCTTAAGAAATTAAAAAAAAAATCTTACAGAATTATGAAGAGTTTGAAATATAATGCAAATGATTATAGAACATTGAGAGATTTTAAAAACTCACATTTTAAAAATTATGATAAAGATAAAAATTTTATTTCTCTTAAATGTTTAGTGTGTGATTACAATTTTGATTTCTTAAGTACAAAGAAAGTCACTATTATCCGTGACGGTGTAACTTCAAGTGCTTGACTGATATTTTTTGTTATCTTTTCTTCCTCAATACTTTCATTTGTAGCTTAACAACGACACATCAGATCGGATTCAACTTTTCAATGCTAGTTTACTGTGGAAGGGTTCATGCAACTACTGACACTATGATCAAAGTTAAATAGTACATTCATGAAATTTTATTTGGATGCAATAATTTAAGAATGACTCATCTGATTGGCTTCAAACATTCAGAAGAGTTAGTTGGGATTGTTACTGGAATGTCTTGATACCAATTTGACGACACTTTTATTTGTATAATAATATATTGTGGATTTTATCCAGTTAAATAACGTAAATTGTAATTAAGAACCTCATAATAAAGGCAATATTATTTATTAGCTTCAGATTTTTAAGATATTACTTAGTAAGATTTTTGTCATGCAGATTAAAAAAATTGTCATAATAAAATTATTGAAAATATTTGTGACACAATGTGTGACAACCGGAGAAAGCCTTTCTGAGCGGCTTCAATATTGATGTGTTTAGTTGAATGTAAGATTTGTGTTGCTGTTGAGCTGTAGTGATATCGAATTACCTATTTTATTAACCCGGGAATTAGTATCCATTCATTAGCTAAACAAGGTGTCTTGTAATTTGTATGAAAAAAAATTATGTCAGCTGATGGACTTGATAAGAATGATGATGCTTCATAAGTTAAGTCTGAGTGTGTGCAAATTTGAAATTTTACTCACATTGTTACAAACTTCAGAATTGTTGGATTCAAATCAATTACCAAAAATTGTATTTCCTGACATTCATTAGACATTCATTGTTGATGATCTTTATTGAAAGAAATCATGGAATTCACTCTGAGCTGTCTAAATTTTCTGCCAAATTACTAAACAAATTTGTTTTCCATGTAATAAATAAAGGATATTCCATCCTATCGGGTTCAAACCTAAGGGCAAATGTATATTAATTATAAGTACTTTTAATTAATTAATGCTGTGTAGGTGCTTATTAAGCATTTTTTTTTGTAAATTCTGTGATATTCGAGTTGTATCTTTTATACCAAAGTTGGTTAATCACAATGTTTTAGTCTTCCACTAACTTCCTCCAAGACTTTCATTTCCGATCGACTTCAAATTTTCAACTCTAGTAAATTATAAACAGAGGCAAGTGAACCTGACTTCTTCTCAGTTATATTTACCTAATTTACGACAATCATTTTAAAGCAAAAACTTCGGAAAGCCTCTTCTGATCACATTCAAAATTACAACACTCGTGTATGTTACTTAGAAGAAAGTTGTGTTGTTAATAAAGTGTACATATGTAATACTGACATTTTAAATTTCGAAATGGTGCTGCATAATTTTGCTTTAAATAACAAAAATATTTGACCAACCTTTTCTCAAGGATGTCCAAGACAGCTTTCATAATTCTACTATGACACACTGATACAGACAACATTTCACTGTTGCCAAGACAGTCAAATGTGTGACTGATTAAAGTTCCTTAAGCAGTGAAAATCTCATTATATTATTTCAGCTGTTCGTGGAGAGTGCTGTTTCCTCTTAGTACTGCAGAATTTTTTTTCTTGTATTTATATCTTTTCAGGTGTGGTAGGTTATAATTAGTTATTTTTATGCACAGAGGACAGGCTTCCCTAACCTAACCTAACCTAACCTAAACTAACCTAACCTAACTTAACCTAACCTAACCTAACCTAACCTAACCTAACCTAATGTAACCTAACCTAACCTAACCTAACCTAACCTAACCTAACCTAACCTAACCTAACCTAACCTAACCTAATGTAACCTAACCTAACCTAACCTAACCTAACCTAACACAACCTAACCAAGAAATTTGCTGCAACCCGTATGTGAGAAAAACACAAAAATTTAAATGGTCTTTTCTTCTACTACTTTTTATTTGTAACATGAGAACTCTTCATTGAATACTGGTGTTCTATAAGTAGTGGAAAGTTCTTGGAACTATTGGAGTGGATAGGTACCCATTTGCAAATAATTTTAAGAATTCCAGATTTTTATTTTCATGCAGTGGCTTGAGAAAGCTTCTCCTGATCGGCTTCAAACTTTCAACACTGCTGTATTCTATTTATAATAAGGCTCGGATTACTATGGGAGTAAGAATGAGGCAATATGTTAACTTTATTTTTAAAAATTTGCTGTATTATTTCTGAGGATTAATTTGATTATGATTCTTCTGAACTGCATTCGTCAAGGTGAAATATTTATATGATTTTGTGTATTTCTTTCTCTAGATTTAAAAAAGTTTACAAGCAAATGCTGATTTTGAAATTAGAGACTCTACAATTTAGTGTTTTGGTGTCACTGAACATAATATTCCTTAATGAAACTTAACCTATTTATATTTTTTTCGATTGGCAGTATCTGTTCAAGCAGTTTCTAATTACTGATTTTATGTTCATATATAAAAGATTAATAAATAAGTGCAAATGGATTTAACACACATACCTTACAGCACAGTTATCTGAATAAGTGTCTAGATCGTAATTCTTCGCGGAGAACTTCAGACCGTTGACGCTACTGAAGCCATCACCAGCATCTCCAGTGTAACCATTAACTTCTACCATGAATAAGGAGCTCCTGTCATGGACATAAAAGAACTGGTACTGCGCCCACCGGGTGCTGTTGTCGAAATCCGTTAATTCAAATCGTATTTGGTAGAGAGTTTGATCAGTGAGGGCATGGATATGTTCAAGGCCAAGCCAGAACTCTCCGGAGAGATTGCCAAAGCCTAAAGCATACTCCATCCAGGTGCGATAAAAGTCTTCCTTTGGCAGAATATCTTCTCGACGCTGGATAACAGTCCATCCTCCTCCATTAGTGTCCATATCACAGTAGACACGGACAGGACGTTTGGGGCAGCAGTCATGTGGATAGATGGTGTATATTCCACTTGTCTTGTGGCCATGCTCTTGCAGTTCACGACAGTTTCGGTTTTGGAAGCCAAGTCCTGCCCATAAGAGCTCAGGAAAACTAGCATTGTCAGTGGTGCCATCTGCTGCCACCATTATTAACACACTGCTGGCACCCACTACCACCAACATCCACAGCAGCTTATTCATCTTCCACTTAAACCTGAAGTTAACAAAAGAGGAAATTATTATTTCATTGTTAACATAAGGATATTCAAGTCATTTTATTATATTTAGAATTATACTACTGCATTATTAATCCTACCTCAGCCAATTGAAAATTCTGGCCACATTGGTTCGCAGACAAGCAGATAGATTAAAACCTAGCAGATTCCCGAGTCCTGATGAAGTGTTTACAAGGGTTATAAAGCAAAGTTTTGGGTAAAACTTTCAACCTATTAATACAAATTGGCAAAGTGCCATATAAATGAAAAATGGTAAATCTGATACCTCTTTTCAAACCTGTTGAGAAATCCATAGCTTTGAAATATTAACTAGTAAGGCAAACCTCCATTGTGGGAAAATTAATGTAATCAGTAATTGCCGAGGTCATTCGAAGCAACACTGAAAGACATAAATTAATTACTGAATTTCAACACAGTTTTACAAATTTACTAACTTTTTTTCACTGAGGTATTGGATGAGGTAGATCATGGTAATGAGTACGATATGGAGTATACGTACTTCAGTAAAGCTCTTTGATAAAGTTCCACATCGGAGGGTGTTGATAGACTTCCATATAAGAGTATGATGAGGACAGTAGAAGCATATCGAATAGAAGAAGGAAGGATTTCCTTGAAACAGGCGAGATTGCCTTACTGGGAACATAGACTCTGCATAGGAAAACCAGTTAAATGCAGAATGAGGTAGAATTATTAATGAATTTTGGAAAGCCAGTGGCATTAGGCGATGATGAGAGTAACAGAGATAGTGGAGAACCAGATATGAGCAGAAAGGGAAAAGAGAAAAGAGGCTTTCTATAAATATATTATACAGAGAGTCCTAGCACAAGAAACGAGATGGATGAGTTGACATTAGTTGATAGTGCTTGTAACTTTGACGTATTTGTCATAACTAACACATGGTTTAATATGAAGTAGCGGGATATATCTGCTGAATGTCAGTTTCACGGTTTTAAGTTATTCCATAATGATAGAAGTAGCGAGAAGAGATGAAGGGTGGCACTACATATCAGAGAGCATTGAAAAAGCGAGAATAAAGACTGAAAGAATACACTCAAAGTCTGCGTGGGTAGAAAGGCATGAAAAATTAATTTTGGATGTGATGTTTCGTCCCCCTAACTTGGAGAGGCACCATGGGAGATACTTTATGAAAAAAATTGTTAAGGCCACAATGGGACGATAATTTATTAATTATAGAAGACTATAATTGTAGTTCAGTTGATTGAGATTCCATGACTGGGAAGCTTGAGTCAAACGATTGCGTGGAAGTAGTTCAGGAATGTTTCTTGGAACAGTTTTGACAGAAACAACGAGGGGAAATAACCTGCTTGATTTAGTTCTGGTTAACAAGGACGGTTTTACGTATTACGAATTTACTAACTTTCTTCACTAAGGTATCGGAGGAGGTAGATCATGGTACTGATTATTTTGTGTATATGGACTTCACTAAAGCTATCGATAGAGTTCCACATCAGAGGCTGTTGAGGAAAATTAAGGCACACGGAATAGGAGGAGAATTTTTTTCCTGGGTAGAGGCATGGTTGACAAATAGGCAGCGGAGAGTTTGCATTAAAGGGGAGAAATCAGATTGGGGGCACGTCACGAGCGGCGTTCCACAGGGGTCAGTGTTGGGCCCCTTGTTGTTCACAGTCTACATAAACGACATGCATAAGGGAATAAATAGCAAAATAAGCAAATTTGCTGATGACGCCAAAATAGGCCGTCCAATTCATTCTAATGACGACATTACAGCACTCCAGGATGATTTCAATAGATTGATGCTGTGGTCAGAGAAGTGGCAAATGCATTTTAATATAGACAAATGCAAAGTTCTGAATGTTGGACAGGAAAATAACCATGCCACATATAAACTAAATAAGGTGGATCTTAATATTACGGATTGCGAAAGGAATTTAGGAGTTCTGGTTAGCAGTAATCTGAAAACAAGACAACAGTGCATAAGTGTTCACAGTAAATCTAACAGAATCCTTGGCTTCATAGCAAGAAGTATTAATAATAAAAGTCTTCAGATTGTTCTTCAACTCTATATATCCTTGGTTAGGCCTCATTTAGATTATGCTGTGCAGTTTTGGTCACCGTATTACAGAATGAATATATATGCACTGGAAAACGTATAGAGGACGATGACAAAGTTGATCCCACATATCAGAAATCTTCCCTATGAGGGTAGACTAAGGGCCCTGAATCTGCACTCTCTAGAAAGGTGTAGAATTAGGGGGGGTATGATTGAGGTATATAAATGGAAAACAGGAATTAATGAAGAGGATGTAAATGGAATGGTAAAAATGTCTAACATAGACAGGACTCACAGCAATGGTTTTAAATTGGAAAAATTCAGATTCAGGAAGGCTATAGGAAAGCACTGGTTCGGTAGTTGTGGATGAGTGGAAGAAGCTCCCGAGTACCATAATAGAATCTAAGGCGTTGCATAGTTTTAAAAAAAGTTTGGATAAATACATAAGTAGGTGTGGGTGGGTGTTCGTTGGACTTGACTAACTGGTGCTACTATGTCGGATTCCGTGCTCCTCCCTTAAGTGATGTGTCTGACCTCACTAGGTCAAGGCAATGGCTTAAGCCAGTGGGTGAACTGGACCTGCTTCGCATAGGCCAGTAGGCCGTTTGCAGTGTTCCTTCTTTCTTATGTTCTTATATTCTTATGTTCTTATAACCTAGAGATTACAGAGGAACTTGGCACGAGCAACCATAAATCGATTACCTTTTGTATTGAGTGGAAGTATGATAGTAGGGATAACTCATTAATTGTCCCACACTTTATCTTATCAGACCACAATGAGCTTAGAGAACACCTGTCATCTATGTGCTGGGATAACGAAGAGAACTCTCATTATGACAGTTTTATAAACAATATGCAGGCTGCCAATAGAACATTCATTACATTTAGAGAAATGAGTTGTTTGAGCCTATTGTTCATCCGAATAAAATGGGCTCAAACATCTTAAGGGCAGATAAAGGGTATTTACCCGCGTATCGAAAGAGGTGAGGGCGATATAATTGATTAAAATTCTTATATTAAGAGGAAGTTTAAAACAAGGGTAATAAAAGCTGAAACAGGGTATTGAAATTAGTGTCAAATGATTCGAAAACAAATGGGTTTTGCAATATTTTTAAAGCAGAGTATTGGTCATTACCATTAAATTACTGAAAAATAAGCCTCATCTCAATTGTAGGCAACTTAATATAGTCAATTATAGCTGATATTATAAGAAGCCATCTTGATTGGCATAATTTGATCTATGATACTCAGCATAGATTCATGAAAAGCCGTTCCTACCTGACTAATTTGCTGACTTTCTTCAGTAAAGCGTCTGAGGGAGTTGATGGTGGTAAGTAACATGATATTATTCATTTGAATTTTAGTAGAGTACTACACAAAATAATTTTAAAGAAAGTGGCAACTCATGTTATTAAAGAAAAAGTCTTGTCATGGATCGAGTCATGGCTCACCAACAGGAAGCAGAGAGTCTGCATAAGTGGGTGAACTCTATGTGAGGATGAGTCACAGGTGGTATTCCACAACGATCAGTTTTAGGCCCACTGTTGTTCACAATGTGCATTAATAACCTTGACGAGGGAATAGCAAGTGATATGAGCAAATTCGCTGAAGATACAAAAATAAGCAAGAAAATTGATTCAGAGAAGATGCCAAAGAACTTCAGGAGGATTAAACAAGCTCACGTCATGATCTGAAAAGTGGCAGATGCAGTTCTACATAGACAAAAGTAATGACCTAAAGCTCGGAAATGTAAATAACCTTAGCACTTATAAACTAAAATATTTAGAACTTAGACTTACAGAATGCGAAAGGGACTTGGGAGTTATAGTAAGCAACAACCTCATGATATGACAGCAAATGCCTAAGCATACGCAATAAGGCAAACAGATTACAGCGATTTATATAACGAACTTTAAGCTGCAGGAATCCAGAGGTTATACTAAAATTTACACATCATTAGTAAGACCTCACTTAGATTATGCAGCTCACTGCTGGTTTCCATATAACAGAATGGATATAAATTCGTTAAAAGCATTCAGAGAAGTATGACAAAATTTGTCTATTGCATGTAAAATCTATCATACGAAGAAAGACTGAATTCCCTTAAACTACATTCTCTAGCAAGACCCAATTAGGCCCAGTCCCTGGACCCATTATATGGAGTAAAATCTGTTTATGAAAGGGGGTTAATGACCCTTTCCAAAATGAGTAGCCCTCTAAGAGAAGGCTAGCCTCTCGGAAGGGATTATGAATAAATAGTCTTGCTTTCTTCTTCACACACGGAGGGCCCGGGTTCGATTCCCGGCGGGTGGAAACATTTCGACACGTTTCCTTACACCTGTTGTCCTGTTCAACTAGCAGCAAATAGTTACCTGGGTGTTAGTCGACTGGTGTGGGTTGCATCCTGGGGGACAAGATTGAGGACCACAATGGAAATAAGTTAGACAGTCCTCGATGACGCACTGACTTTCATGGGTTATTCTGGGTGGCTAACAGTTCGGGGTTAAAAATACATCGAAAATCTTATCTTATCCTCCCACAAAAGAGTTATCAGAATCATATGCTGGGTGAGACATCATAAGAGACACCTCTCTTTACCAGAATGTATGGCTACTAGTATATACCAGTGGAAACCTAGGGAAACTACTATTTCCCCATAGTATTTAAAATGCGTAAGAAATTGCCTCCTACTTGACAAACAAGCTAGGGATATTACGGCTCATTAAACCCACCTAGAATACCAAGAAACAGGGATTCTAGAATGAGTTCTCTTGCAAAAGCGAACAATAAATGTTCATGAAGATTAAGCCAGCATACATATCCCCTGTGGGGCGTGGACCTGTGGCGCTGAAGAGCGTCAGATTGTTACAAGGATCGAATGGGAATGCGTGTCCCCAGTAACATCGCAAGTGCGTAGTTCCTCCCGCTGAACAAAGATACAGTAGC